TTACTTCATCACTAAGATACCATCTTAATATTATTATATTGCACATGCACCTTATCTATTAAGGTATGCAATTTATCACATATATTACACATACATAACATATGCATGTATCCTCTTACGTTCATCATGTCTTTGCACATATATCATCCATGTATATTATTTTATCATGCATACCATTAGATATTCAAATATTAATCACGTATARTTTTACCTCAACCCAGATTGTCTGAAATCGGGTTATAACAAAGAGCAAGAAATAGATATACATGATTGTGTCTAGTGTTTTATCACAGTACGGGCTATATCACGTATGTTTGTGAGTTGAACTTGGTTCATCTTCTGGTAGGCAAATTAATGATATCACCTATGGCTTGATAGAGATGTATGATTACAACCAAAATAACCATGCAATTCCCCAAGAATCATGTATGGAGCACAAAGGACACATTGGGAAAGAGTGTCACTTGTGTGTGAGAATTTGGTTCATACTCGGAGAGATCCAAATTTGTCATTTGTTCACTTGGCTTGCAGATGCTCGGGCAACCACATTTGTGGGTTGCTCAAATTCTTTTGTGGCAAGCCTACCAAGATTGACATTTATGCTTCAAATGGAGGAAGATTGGCTTTATTGTAGCAGTAGGTAAAGAGTCTGACATATGCTACTTAGGTTCATGTCTTAGTAACAGGCCCATCTTGTAACCTATATATATATTTGTATATATATATATCTGTTTCTCGTCTATAATATATTATGCTTCTGAAACACTTTGTCATACCATAAAAGAAGCGACTAAAAGATAGTGAAGCGTACCAGCATATGCACAAGGAAGAATAGCTTCATCTGCTCCTTTGGACAAAAGGATGATTTTCCCGCTACTACAATCTCTAACAACCACTGACATTCTTTTCCTATCAGAGGTAAACTCCAGGTAGTCCAGCACCTCATACTGAATTAATGAACCATTAAAGTTGATTTCTGCAAAGCAATCAACAAGCATTTTACAGTGCCATTCTATCAATCAGGTTATAACCCATAGAGAACAAGGATTTATACCAAGTATATTAGAATTCTTGTTAACAAAAATCATATGCAAGGAAGCAGCTGCACGCACTAGAGCTTCCTCATCCTGAGACTGTGCCTTATACGAGACTATGCCACTTGGACTGTAATTTGTAGAAGAAGATCATTTCTAATGTGTCAAACTTTGTTAGCAAAAGGAAAAGAAAACTTGACTAATAGCCAATGAGGAATAACCTTTTAATAGGAATGACAGTGTTACATATTGCCATAACTGTCAGAAATCTAATAGCATCTGGAGAACCGGTAGTGATGGCATTGAGCAGCTCCACATCTTTAACATGCAAAACATTGAAACAAAAGTCCAATGAGACAGCAAAAGTATGTATAATGCAATCCAATAGAATGGTGAGCGACCCTGTAATAAATCCACTAATAAACAAGGATTTGAGTAGGGAAAAACTCGATGAATTGTAAATGTCATAACTAATAGATGATAGGAGCAGAATCAATTTATGTAGCATACCCAGCTTCAGCCTAGACATATGGTACAGTCAAATTTGATGCATCTCAGGATTGAACTCAGTTACAGACCAATAAAATCTAACAATATTTCAGATAAGAACAAGCTGTTAAAATAATCTTGAACCAGTCGAATTTGATGTATCTCAGGCTTGAACCCAGTTCTAACTAATGATGGCAATAGATGCATACACAAACAATGGTACAAATAAGAATCAAGCATAAGGTCTGATATCTCTATAGAATCACTGACATACTGTATCACCCCTAGAACATATAGCTCATTTGAAACATTCGATAACACTTCGCTTATATTAGTTATACACAAATTGTATCAAGGTTATAAAGGAAGATGGCATTTGTAAACCTTGTTCTAGGTATGAAACAAACTTTGACATTAGATTAGAAACAAAACCTGATTCTTAAATAATAACAACAAAAAGGTTTTAAAAATAATGGGCTTTTGCTACTGACAGTAATGCTTTATGAAACTTCTTTCTGTTTTTGTTTTTAAAGCAAAAGCACAAATATACCGGTTAATAGGACCTTCTATAATATAAAACAATCTAAATTCTGAGAGCACTAAAGGAAGCACAGGCATAAAGAAGCACCTTGTTGGGCCTATATATTGTACCATTGCTTTTCTATGCATCATGTGTTTCTTTCTCCTACCTCAAGTATCATTCAACTCTGGTGATCACTCGAATACCAATTTTCTCTAATAAAATAATACTTGAGGAAAAAGCCAAACCTTTTACAGCATCTCCATTCTCATTACCAAAGAATGTCCCCGATATGCAACATCTTTTAAAAATCATCTTATTTTCTGTAAGTGTCCCTGTTTTATCTGTCAGTATGTACTCAACTTGCCCCAGGTCTTCACTTATTGCTGTGCTGCCATATAAAAAGAACAAATACAGCAATAAACTGAATAAAATGAGGTAGTCATGTCTAGACAAGGTGATAAACAAACTGCACTTTTCTTACTTTGTTGCATTTGCTGAAGTGCCAGTCTCTAGGTCAACCATCTGATTATCCCAATCAATGAACTTTGCATACAAGCTTTTAACCAGATCTAACGATACCTGCCAAATATTATTCAATATTCAGTTATCACTGTAAAGCATGACAGAGCGCTCAAAGCACAATTATAGGTATCGGTGCTTTTCACATGGCTTCTAAAAACTGCTAACTATATTAGAAGGCCTCAGTTATAACAAAGCAGAGATCTAAGAATAAAGACCCTCTCAGCTTAAGAAACTGCTTGATGATACAAAAAATGATTACCTTTATGGATATGGGTATCATGATAGAACAAAGAAGTTCAAATCTCAGAGGAATGATCAGTAGTTCATACCAGGGACCCTCATCTGGATATAGAACATACCAATGCTGCATAAGGGATATATGAAGATGAGTTCAAGTTTGACACGATATGAGATAACAAGAAAGAGAGCTTAAGACACATGATGCTTAAAAGTAAAAGAAATTATATCAAGAACTTTTTCAATCTATGTCACATGATATGATAATTGACCTACCAAGTAAAGAAAGATCCCATAATTTATTTTAAAAAAGAGATGCCATGTCTGTACAAATAGAAGGAATGAATCATGTTAAATCAGCTTGAAGTTTTAGATTGTGATTTTATTTAATAATTCAACAAATTTGCATGAATAATAATGGAAAGTGAGCTGATATGATTTTCAACTCTTTTCCTACTCCTACCACAACCTTATTTTTATAGCACCAACTCTAGTATACATTATATATTTATATCTGCATATCAGTAGATATGTAAAACGGACAACTTAGGAAGCCTCGCAATGCATCTATCAACATCAGCAACAAAGCAACAATAGACCTAGAACCAAGGAACCAAAAATAGCTACGATCTGCTTGGGAATTTAAAACCTTAGACTTAATTAAATGGGCCTAAACAATGCTAAAGAATGTTAAAATACAATGTTCACACTACATATATATTTCCTGTACTAGATTTCCAATAAACATAGACTTCACCACATAACAAAAGTATAGAAAATTTATAAAATATGCAGGAAAAAATCGGATGTGTTGGCTTTTCCTCAACTTTCTTGTAACGTTCCATGCAGAGAGACAGTCAAATGTCAAAGTTTATTAACAAAAGTAACATATTCAGAAGTTAATATCTTCAATTTTCCATTTCTTGCAATTCAGTTTTTATTGTAACTTTCCTGACAACTGCACAAAGTTTTGAGGTAGCCATTAGGATCAGTGGTAGTTATTCTTTTTTCTGACAATAACTAGAATGGTTAGAAATTCAGAGGCAGAAAGAAAAGGTTAAATTGCATAATTCAAGACAACACAATTATGCAAAACATCATCCCCTTCCCCAAACCAAAATATCATGGATATTTTCTATATTATGAATTAACCACTCCAAGGTCCCACTGTAATTGCAGATATCAAGACCACATCATTAGTAAAACATATACAGAAAGGAAAGGCTCATTTGGAAACCTTAATCTGAAAAGTTGCGGAGTCATATCACCATGCAATCTCTGATGGAAGACTTGGAAGTCAGACAGAGAATTATGTTACTACATGGGATGCAAATCTTCTATATAAAAGTCTCTAGAGCATCTAAAGATCTTAAACCATTTGTTTTTCATTACGATCTTCTAATATTACTCCCTTTCCATCTCAAAGATTACTTAGCTGATGCGCATAAAATGTTTCGCCCAATATAGATATGCTTGGGCATGACAGATATAGATCCATCAACTTGAGTAAACACTTTCCACACTGAGCATAAGCTTTAATGCATATAACTATGGTTGTAAAAAGAGGTCTAGGAGCACGCCTCGAGGCGAGGCAGTCCAAAAACGTCCCTGAGGTGTCGCCTCTTGCTGCTTACCTTGGGTGTATGCTATGCAGGGTGAGGGGGTGAGAGGCGTTCGCCTCTTTGGAGATAAGGTTTATGTGCCTTTTGCAGGTGTGTTATTTGTTTTTAACCTATGCTCTTTATGTGCAGGCTACCTGCTGTTTGCTGTCAACCCTTGTTAGTATATATTATATATAAGAAAATTATTGTGTTAGTATATTATTTATATAGGTATATATGTGCATAGAGGGAGTTTCAATTACAAACCATGTAATTCTAACAAACTTTACAAACCGATCTTAGCCGTCCATCTAGTCTAATAAAGATTTGATTTTATTTTGTTTCCTAGTCTAAGGCCATGATCATAATAAATGAACCTTGTCATCTTCCATACATATCTCAATCATAATTAATTAATTAATCATGATAATAGTCCATAAATATCTCAATTGTTTCGTAATATAATGGTTTGTAAAGTGTGTAAGATTTACATGGTTTGCATTTGAAACCACCCCTATGTATATATTGTGTGTTAGTATATATATATATAGTGTTAGTGTGGTCTGTGTAAGTAATATTATATATATATACATATATTATGTTAGTGTGGTCTGTGTAATTATGCTAGCGTGACCTGTGTTAGTATTATTGCAAAAATAATACATATCATGTTATATGGTCTGTTTTTAGGCTTTTAGTTTATATTATATATTTTATTTGTTAATAAATATACATATAATATATTGTGTATGTGTATTATTTGTTTTTCAGTAACTTGATGTGTGTTGGGTTTGTGAATATAATGTATATTATCAGTGTTTGTCAATATATTATATATGTATTAGTGTATGTATAATATATCAAGTTTTGTCATATCTGTCCAGTTACTACATGAGACTCCATTTTATGGCTTCAATAGTTTGATATTGGATTATGTTTTGCATGTTATTTACACCCATGAGTATGACTTCTCATATTTTGCACACGACGCACCAATTCAAAGCATAAAGACAAGTTTTACCTTTCTATGGATCATCTTGTTATGGTTAGAAGAAAGATATCGAGTAATCCAGAAAGCAAAGGAATATAAATCATAGATTGTTTATCAAATGAACAGATAAAGAACAGTGGCTGAAATTGTAATGACCAGGTGAGAGCAAAGGATTGAAGCATAAATATGTGAAAGAACTAGTCCAGCAGAATCTGCTACTTGCGAAATTTTTTCCAAATGAGACAAACCTTTCTTGCTTCTGTATCCTTCCAAATATTCCCAGCAATTCCTAGAACAATTACCACCACAATCTGAAATATGAATATAGCTCCAGTCAACTTGTCAATCATCGCATCCATAGCAGTAAGCTTCGGTTCTGGTACACCTCTACTCATGCCTAACTTGGTCTCATTGCCTGGAAAACAAGCCATGGATCACATATAAATTGAAGAGAGGCAACTATCATTGATTCCGCAAAATGCCTGCTACACACCTCTGCTATACAGTGAAGTCTAAATCTACAACTTCATTGGTAAAAATTAAGTACTACAACTATAGTAAACTTCAGGAAATGAGATGAAGCAAAAATATATGGTTAGAAATAAAAGACCTCTTTGCATTCTGGTTAACTCTGCTACTCCCATCTTTTGTGTGTGAAGAGAGGAATAGGAGGTGTTCTATGGGTAGAAGAACATGAATAATGTATGATGATCAGGAAATTAGCAACAAAAAAAAATCAAAAAGCCAACTTCTACGTTTGACAAAGAGAAAACAACTGCAACCTAGGTTCACTAGTTCATGAATATCAACGAGTGGAGGAACATATCATCGTTGATAACTCATCTAATGATAGATGGTAATAACAACAATAATATTAAATCCAAGAATAAAATTTTCATAAAACAATCACCGAGAACACGTTTCTTCTCAGGGCACAACCATTTGCTTAAATCTTTGAAAAGGAATTCAAATAATCCTGCCTTTGGCATATGATATATTAGAAACTTTGTGTGATATCAGTCATTTCATTGCGGCACCACAGCTTCCATCAACTACTTGTCCATCATGATTAAGGGGGTGTTTACTTTCGACTTAGTTAGCTTAATGGCTGTTTTGGCTTATTCGCACACCCATATATTGATGTTTACTTGCGGCTTATTGATAAAGGAAGGGGCTTATTCGCACAGTATAGAGGGGGGCTGTTGTCCTCATTAACCCAAAATGTAGACAATTCTACCCCTTTGCTAGAAAGAACACGCTCCTTAAATAAAAGAAGTTCCTCCCTTTTGCTTCCCTTCACAAACCCTAGCAGCAGAGAAAAAAGCTCCTCATCCCAATCGCTGCTCCTCTCCCCGTCTCAGCTCTTCGTCTCCGGCGACATGTGCTCCTTTCCTCCGTCGCTGCACCTCCCCAGACATGTTCAAAGCCCTAGCCACTGTGTATCCTGAGATCAGCGACCATCTTTCCGGTGACCGTCGTGACCAGCGACCAGACCGATCGAGGGTCAGGATTTCTTTTTCTCCAAATTTGAAGCTTGCAAATTTTGTTTTCTCCAATCATGGGTTAAGATTTCGTTTTCTCCAAGTTAGATGTTTGCTTATTTTTTCCCTGTTTGTTGAGGATATACCTGACCTAGTTATTCCATGGATACATTTGATTTTTTATTAGGACATCTACTGTATTATGTTTCAATTTCTCTTCTCTTTGATTTTTCGTTCATCTCTCCTTTTTTCAATTTCTCTTCCATTACTGTTGAAGTTCATATTTTGAATGGATTGATGTTTGTTTATTTCTTCTCTGTTTGTTTATCTTCTTTTTTCGATATCTCTTCCATCGATTTCTCCAAGTTTGATGAATTGATGTCACTTGTAAAGTTCAACTAAAGAGGTATAATCCATAATAAAGGGTAAAACAGTCATTTCTATCATTTAGACCGTTGATTCAGGAAAAAAAAGTAAACAACACATTTTTATCTGGATAGACAAATTTATGTGTACAAATTTTGGTAAACAGCCCCTAAATACTGCTTGCTTCTCTATTCCACATTCTCTCCTTTGAGTTCTTAACTAGCCAGTGAAACCAATTTGTTTTCCCAACCAAGTGACTGCAACAGTATCCCAATTTCAACCTAAAATTACTAAAATGATGATTAAGTTGACACCATGCTGCAAAGGATCTGTCAATTTTTAAGCATAAACTCATAAGCAACGGATGCAAGCGTACAACCAAACAATGTAAGATGTTAATTGGCTTCCAAGTTACACCCCATCACAGACCAATGCACTTTGAACCATCTACAAATAGGATAGTGCATTAGTTGATCCAAGCTTCCAGCTAGCTTGATGATTTGCATCTACCAGAGTGGTTGGTTGAAGATAGACATGATTCACAAGACACCTTAGTTGCATTTGTCTGAAGATATTGGAAGTGATGTCCTATAAAATTGTAGATGCAACTACTTTTTGAAGATCAGATGGTCTTTTTAGACAGGAACTTGCTCGTAATCCCTATGTTGGCAGCCATTTCCCTGATTTGAGACTAAATCTTCAACTACATGAAGGGACGAACCCCCCCACGCCCAAAATTATTGGAACTGCTAATAAGCTCATTGTATTGAAGATGCTAGAGCCATTATAGTTGATAACATATGATAGAAAATTATCCAGTTGGCTTTCACATGATCCAAGAGTGGCAAGCATATCTCCATATCAAATGCAGATGGTGGAACAGAACTCAAAAGAAAATATATATATACACAGTAATTCAACTAAAAGTCAATTCAAGCTGGAGAAAGATCTATTTTAATACTGATTTCCATTCTGTCGATGTAATGCCATTGTTGAGATGCCTTCAAGCACACAACTACTGAGAAGTGCGAGATGAAGAATGATACGACTCGCCGATTTAGTTATCCTTATCTTTTATTTAGGGTCATCTTTTATTGGAATTGTTAGTGGTTATCTTTTATCTAAAGTATTTAGTCAGGCTTGTTTGTTTAGTGATCAGCTATTTATAGGGCCTTGGGTGTTTCGAGAGGAATAGAAAAATATATTTTTAGTCTCAAACCAATTAGAGACCCCTGTTTCTCGAATTACAGGAACCCTATTCTGCTTTCTTTCATTCAGTTATTCTGGTTCGTGACAATTGGTATTAGAGCTATGATCTTGGTCAATGAACAGGATCATTGCAATATTGTGCACGGCGTCACTGTTCATCACATCACTGTTCACGTCAGAGAAATTCACTTTGAGTTTCCTTTCGTCGTACGATCTTCTAACCATGGCAATAAAAGAATTGAAAACCGAGAAGCAGATTTTACCCAATCTCGAATGGAGGCCGAGGAAAAGTAGAAAAAGAACACCCAAAAGATTGAAAACATTCTCAAGGCTATCAGCAACTTGGGCCACTTCGTTGGGTAACCTGTCCACCAAGGTAGACGGCATGTGACCAGAGACAAAGGACCTTCGCTACGATGATCTGGGCTTTTTGGGGGCGGATACAGGCGTGTTAGGAGAAAGAAAAAGCAAGAAGAGGAAGAAACAAGCATAGGATCAATTAGGAATGCACCAAGACGGGAGTTGGTTCAAAGGGAACTGAGTAAAGGAAACTTAAAATGCTGATATTTGAAGGTGAGGATGCGTATGGGTGGATTTACCGCGTAGAACGTTTTTTCGAAATTCAAGGAACCGAAGAAGGCAAACAACTCGGGGCAGCGGCTCTAGGTATGGAGGGAGCAGCCTTGTCATGGTATCGTTGGAGCGAGGCAGGTCATTGTTTCGTAAGTGGGAACTGGGAAGGGCTGAAGAGACGGCTACTAGATTGATTCCAGCCATCTCACAAAAGAAGTGTGTACGAGCACTTCCTAGCTATCCATCAGGAGGGGAGTGCCCGAGATTATGTAAGTACCTTCGTAAAAATGGCAGGGCAATTAGGGGGATTGCCTGAACCAATTCTAGAGGGGACATTTATCAAGGGTCTAAAACCTGAACTAAGATCCTCGGTGAGAGTCATGCAGCCTGAAGGTCTGACCCACACAATGAGAATAGCAGTAATGTTAGATGAAAACTGTGTCAGTGGGGATTTGTCACGATCAGAAAGAGGGGTTACAGGACAAGGGACATTCGAAAGGCTAACGGAAGCAGAACTAGCAGCAAAGAAGGCTAAAGGACTATGCTTCAAGTGTGACGCCAAGTTCACACCGGACCACCATTGCGCTAGCAAAGCCTTACAGGTGCTATTAGTGAGGGATGAAGATGATGACAAACTCAAGGAGGAAGAACCACCAGATAAACACACGGAGTATGCTTATTTGTATCCACCTTGAGGACAAAGTGCTTGTTTAGGAGGAGAGCAATGATACAACTCCCGATTTAGGTATCCTTATCTTTTATTTAGGGTCATCTTGTATTTGAAATGTTAGTAGTTATCTTTTATATAAATTATTTAGTCAGGATTGGTTTGTTTAGTGATCAAATATTTATAGGGCCTTAGGTGTTTCGAGAAAAATAGGAAATTATATTTTTAGTTTCAAACCAATTGGAGACCCTGTTTCTCTCAAATTACAGGAACCCTATTATGTTTTCTTTCATTCAGTTATTCTGGTTCATACCGAAGTACCACAAACCAAATTGTCTATCAAGTATCAAATATCAACATTAACAATCACATATGGTAGCTTGCCAGTGGTGCCACCCATTTTCCCCAAAAAAACGATCACGTATAACCTGATGAATATTTCCATTTTCCCACAATAACTCGATTAGGTCCTATCCAATGCCAAACAACATAAAGAGACCAAAAAGGGACAAGATTTGAGATCAATGTTTGATACATAACAGTTGTAGAAACCAATATCGAAGTAGAATACTCCGAAAAAGAAAGCTAGATTGCCATTGATCAGAAGACTGACAACAGTAAACAACGGATTTTGGATGGCAGCAATGGAAGTGTTCCCACCATGTAAGTGTTGTTAAGAAGTCTCCCTTGGACTTCGTTACGTTCAACAGTGATACTTTTTCAGATAAGAAAGCACTAACTACATGTTTTCTTCGTAAGAGTCAAGAGAATTGTAGCTGCAGATAATTCTACATTAAATCAGGCACGCCTGACAACCCTTCTTGACTCTGATCCTAACTCACCAGAATCTTGTCTATTCTACTAGCAGACAAATGGCAATATACCTTTTAGCTCTCAAAAGTAGATACAACAATAACAAGCCTTTTATCCCAAACTACTTGGGTTAAGCTTTGATGAAACCCGAAAGAATCTATAAAGAGGTTAACTCCATGGGCTTTGGCACATGAATGGCATCCTTCAATCCAACCCTAACTAATGCCAACTACTATGGGATCCGGTAAGTATCTTTTCACTAATTCCCTATGTAAATGCCACATTTTTACCTCTCCTACCAACCTGTGACAAGTCACCTCGTCTAATTGGTGCATTCATAAAGGTCTACATTCAGTGGTGGATCTAGGATCTTCATTGAATGGGTTGTCATATAAAACGCACATAAATGAGCTGTGAGATTATGAATACATGTAAACGAAATAAATATGATGGCTTCCAAATGAATTTCATGTCTAAAATAATATTTTTATATCCTTCATATCCTAAAACCATTAATTAATCACTTGCAACGGTTTTGAAAACATATTTATCAATATACATCAATACATAATTACTAACCAAACAACTGCCTAGGTTAGAAATTATATTTCTAATAAGATCCATGGAAATGCTCTATTAATGGTTGATTTCGCAACCAACAAAACTAATACTAACTTCACCAACATATAGACAAATTAGAACCCATTATCTTTTTTCCTTTCAACTAATGGAATCTAGTTTTAACTCGATAGATCCAAATTAGATATTTTTGTAGCAGTTTAAAAGAGATCATTGACCTTGGTTTGATTAGGACATTGCCACATTTCATCACCCCATTGGCAATGCCTTCTCTTGCTTTCGACAGGACCCCTTCAGACAGGAGGATATCAGATTATCCAAAGCTCGAGCTCCCCGCCCCAGCCAATCTCTCGTTGGGTTGAAGACACAGAGAATTGCATAGATAGAAGGACAAAATGTTGACAAGGATTTTTTGAGTTCTTAACTCCAAAATGCTTCTATGATAATATGTTTATATTGTTAAGGTAGTCATCAAGTGTTTCTACCAAAACAAAATAACTCTTACCGATTTTGATTTAAAAAATAAAGTTATGTATTCAATACACAAAAATCAAGTGTCGAATATTATTGCTACAAGATTAGTGGTTAGGTTATTACATAAATATCGTTAACATGGCTTGTAAAAACGGTTAGTAGGCATATAAATGATAAAGGCTACAGATTGAGTTCCCTTATAGTTCTCTAGTTTTTACTTCGCCTTCACCTAGTATGAAAACAGAGAGAAATAAAATAGACACATTTTTACTTGAGGGAGACTTCAACATCTTGCCTTCTGGTTAAGGTCTTGATACAAGACAAACTAGGCTAGACAAGTTTCATCATCCACATCCTCTAAATTTTATTCAAAAGGCATGGTTCCCCCCATGGTTTTAAAAATCGGAAGAGGCATACGCCTTGAGACGTGCCTCAAGGCGAGGCAATCCAAAAACGAGTATGAGTAGAAGTATGTATGTATCTAGTGGGGCGAGGTTATGTATGTAGAAAGGGATCCGTCTCTATCGATCTGGATATTGGAAATTAGTCACTACTTGAGCCACAGAAGATGCTTTTTGACCAATAGCTACATAAACGCATTCTAGATTTGGGCCTTGTTGATTTAAAATTTTATCTGTTGCTATTGTTGTTTTACCGGGCGACGCCTCTCAAGCCTTCAACGAATCGTACGCCTGGTTGGGTGAGGCAGTGATTGGAGGCTATTGAGGTGCTAGAAGTGGTTGACGTGGTTGTGAGGTGGTCGATTTTTAATATGGTATTTCAGCCTTCATGACACCTTTCATTTCTCCTCTCTCCCTCTCTCAACAGCCATCGCACTCTGTCTCTCCCATGGCATCGATCCTGCTCCATCCACCATTTATTATCTCTTCCCTCACAATTCTCAATGTTCCCCTCCTCTCACGATTCTATATCCCTAGTTAAATTATTTCCGATCATATATGAGTATATAATACATTATATTCAATAAATTTTAAATTTGTTATATATTGTTATTAAGTTTTTGTTTAATTTTTTTTACTATTAATATATTTTATTTAATAACGTTTGTATTTGTTTTATTTAGTTTTATGATTAAGTTTTTATAAATTTTATCTAATGAGTTACTTAATCTAAGAAATAACAGTAAAAGATGTTGCTGATTCCGGAAATAATGGTGGATTTATGTAATTTAAGTCTTCGCCTCGGGGCTTATGCCTCGGCAAGGGAAAACGCCTCGAGGCCCGATTCCGTTTTTAAGACCTTGGTTCCTTCATGCCCCTTTAATAGGTTCACTCCTATATATGGCAGAGATGACCCAGCCATATGAAATAAGGTTGCGTGAGTGTCTCCTCAAACAATGTTACCCTAACCTTCTCTATCATTGATGCTAATCATATTCCTCAATATCGGTATAGGATTGGCTAAACATCCATAATAGCATACACATTTATACCAAACTTATCTTATGCACACGTCTTTCAATGAGGCACAACATTATGCCCCATACAGCATAGTAGGTCTAACTGTTGTTCGATGGGTTCCATCTATGAGCTTCCATACGATTTTCAATCACATAAGAAACCTAAAGCTTGTTGTCATTCAGCCACCTCCACCATGCTCATATCCTATTACTAACAGCCTAATCTGTCTCCCCATCATTCTTTGGCTTTCCCATCAACACCACTGGAGTTGCATTTCTCAGGCCTCACTAACTTAGAAGCTTAAGGTTCAAAAGTTTTTCTTTGTAACTCAAACTTCCATTAGCATCTTGCCAAGTCTCATTCATCAATAGAATATCATAGGATATGATCATACCTCATCCACATCATCTTGTATGTCCTCTGTGAAATCAACCATAATAACTAAAGTAAAAAAAGAAAGATAAGCGATCAATGTTGATGCTTGTTTAACCATATAGTACTAATGAAGATATTTCTCTTGTTCTCATGTTCTTTCACACTATTTATTATATACCATCTTACATATCGTCAATCACATTGGCATGCATTCTAGGACTTCCTCACCACACCATTTCCCTTAGTATCCTCTCATATACCTTGTCAAGATCAATAAACACCATATGTAAATCACTATCATATGGGTGCAACAAGCTAATGCCAAAAATCTCACACCAAAGCAAAATAAGCCTCTTGGTTGAAGGGGAAGTACCCTTGGCAGCCTACTAATTTTAATTTATAAATACACTTTTGCCTTTGGTGTGTTGCTACCAATGTGGGTAGTAAAAGTTCTAGCTCCGTAAATATCAAAAAAATCAATATTGTATATTACTTTAACCTACGGAAAACTAGTATTTTGAGATAAAAGATTCCACTGGTGCTAGTGCGAGCAAAATAATCCCTTTCTTCTTTTACTCATCCTTGTTTTCTCCTTTTATTTCGCTTTTTCCCACACTTCCTTTAGTTTATCATCCAATTTATTCGGTTTCATGTAACTAGGTTTCATTGAACAACCCCAACTAGAGAACAAATCCATCCACTATATATATGTTAATCTCCTTCCCACTACACCTTCTTTCTATTTTTAGATGATAAACATCTTTGCAAAAATCATAAGCAACAAAGAAGATTTTGTGAAGGTGATAAATGAGGTAAAGCATTTTAATGCACATCTAAGGTATATCATAGTGACAATATAAGACATGCCTGTATATACAGCAACACCACAAGCCCAGTCTGTATTCCGTAAATAGCACGATTGTAGGATTGTATTTTTAATGGTTAGAGGGCAGACATCATTATCTATAAATGGAGGGAATAGCCGCACATTTGCATCAAACCTTCTAATGTCCTTATCTGGGTTTGGGCACTCAATCACACCCTGCCAAAAAGAAGACACGACAAAGAGACAATCATAAAAATAAATGTCAGAGAATGATCAGAACTGTCCTCAAATTATAGAGTATATGCAAATCTTGCCTTGATTTTGTGCAACAGGTCAGAGTCAATACCCATGCAAGCAGGAGGTATGCTCCTTGTCTTAAGATCGGTTTCACCATCTAGGGCAGCTGTCTGCAAATTATGTTGTACAGTTAGAAGCTAGGATGTGAAATATAGTAGCAGGAAAAGATGAAAATAATAACTACTTATTTCTTTAATTTGATCAGCAAAAGGGGGAAAGACTATCTGAAGATCCTTCATGGAAGTATAGGTCAAAAGGGCATGATTGTAAACATGAATAACAAACATTTATTTCCATTTTTTGTATCAAACTCCAAATGCTAAATGCTCCCAAAACTTAGCAACAAGGATATTAGTCAACTCGTTTACCACATGGACCACTTGAGGTCTTCAAGATGAATTGTGAGTAGTGCTGCAGATCTTTATAAAAGTGCCCTAGGGGGACGTAATTTATATGATGAAAATTGAGTTTTCAACATCTCTGAAGAAGATAAGAAGGTAACTTTTTTCCATTTAGAGTTTCACACACAGTTAAAATGTGTGAGAAACATGTGTTTCAGCCAAGCTAATCAGAGTAGGCTAGAAATTCAGCACACAATAAAATCGTAAAAGATATCAGCAAAAACATAGAGTAAGAAATATACCTCCACATAGCAGACTCCTTGTGGCTCAGAGGTACCAAGTAAAATGAGATCACATGGAACTTCATCATTTTCACGGAGCCACACTAGGTTACCAACGTGAATTTCTTGAGCTTGAATCTTCAATTGAAAGTTTATGATGTTAATGTGAATGACTGATAAATAAGGAAAAGAGTTAATGTGCCTATGAAAAAGAATTAGATCAATGATAAGAAACTAAAACGGATGGAACGAGTTGATTAATTTCACAAAAAATCACTTTCAAGCAATGCAATGGAAGCGCTCTTCAGTCTTCACAGGCTTTTTATGTTGGCTCTAGAAATTGTCTAGGCCTTCAAATCAGCTACAAAGACAAGGATGGTGCATCAAACTAATTCAAAGTGGTTAAAGAAACATTGCCTACTAAGATGTGTGTGTGTGTTCCAGACACCACAAACCCAGTCATTATATCTTCCTACACAGAGATGGACCCACTCTATTGAATACAGTGGCACGGGCCAGCGCTTCCTTCCTCCGTGTAGTGTAAAAAATTATAGTCATGAAAGGTGCCATCGTATCATTTTATTCTGTGCAACCGTATATACTTTGAAACTACAATGATAAACAAGTTTCCCTTGGTGGAGTTGGTTTGCATGACTCTTCTCTCACCCCAGACCTGGGTTCGTGTCCCATTTGTGTCCTTTTTAGTTTTTAGCTTTTAATTGATTTATTAAGTTTCTCAAAAAATTTGCAACAAAAGATTCGAACACAGGACCTCACATAAGAAAGGCAATGAACTAACCAATAGACCAAATGATTATTTTATGAAAAATATCCGTATCTTTGTTTCTTATAGCCAAATGGTGCCACCCCTTGAAAAAATTTATAGGTCCGACTCTGTTCCTATAACCGGTTTGAATAGCTCATCCAATATGTTGAAAAATATATCTGAAAAATGGCGAAATTTCAAGCAGGCACCATAATAACATCGATTGTACCAAGTAAAGTTTACTATGATTCACCATATCCCTCTCTCTTTGACAATCATGGGGAAAAATCCACATCTCTCTAATAAAAGTAAGTAGATTATTAGCTTCATGTTTCGGTAATTCTTGATATGGTCATCAAACATTTGGCTTCTATAGGGATTATCAGCTCTAGGTCAGGAAAAGTAGATCATTAAACAATTAAGTAACGATCTATCAGGTTTCAATAATTACAACACGTTGGTGGACATTAAACATACAGGACAAATAGTATACTATTATGTGGCTAGGGTGTCCTTTAACAGGGGAAACTAAAATAATTGTTAACCACTAATGTAAAGCAAACAAACAGCAAAAAAAATATGAATATATTATAAAGCTAAAATCCTTAACAGAATGCAACTTCATAGTGAAAACACTAGCTTTAAAAGTGATTGCTTCCATAGACATTGCACTTTTGCTTATGGGTAAATATTATTTAGATAGAATCTATTTGCTTAGCACAAAGGACATGGCTGCCTCTTGAAACTGGTCTTATGTAGGTTATACACCTTAACCAATTCTTATTCTTTGTCTAGTAGGCACCAATGGCGATTGGTGCTTCATGCTAGGCATAAAATAGTCACCAACTCACAAACAGCAGAAGCAAATGAAGACAAGTGGGAATAAAAGTAAATTATCAACCAGATGAAACTGATTCTTGTCAGAGTGTGGGGGTAAATTATCAACCAGATGAAATTGATTCTTGTCACATTGTGGAAAATCAACATTTTTATTACAAAACTACCCATCTTCAGACGTGCCCACTTCCATACACCTTCACATTATGCACGAAACCAGTAGCATAAGCCATGCTTGTTACTTCAAGGACAGGGCTACATCTTTTATTTCGTCTTATTTGTGCATAGAGAGTAGTTGTACTCCTAATGAATTTGTATTCTTCTTCAAGAAGGCACTGCCATAAATGATGCTATTATATTCTACATCTCGAACTTTCACTTCCCCCACAAACTCTGATTGAGCTTTAATTGGATCTATTTCAATTTATAATAATTGTAAACCCACTCATTGATATCCTCTTTATGTTTTCATTATTTCCGTGTTTACTTGCATCCATATTGCACATGCCAATATAGTTATCTTGTCCAGAGGATGAATCTAGGAATGCACAAGACATCACAAAAAATGTTGCATAAACACAATATGCACTTTATCTTTAAAACAATCCACATCAACATGATTTTAAAGAACCTAGTGTTAGAACAGAAACCAATTTCTTTAATAAATCAGCCAAAGATATGAAAGATTTTTGAATTATTGAGCCTGTTTAAAAAAGATAATAAGATGACAATGAGATATATTCGCTTACTAGTTTCTTAGATCCCTGCCTTACAACCCATACTTCTTTCTCATTTGCTTTCTTGTCAGAGAGATACCTATTGTAGTCATCCCATGCCTCTTTCGTAGCGGAGACTGCGAAAATAAATATGAGCGGCCCCCATGTACTAGCAGGATTTACTGGTGTTATAAGCGGCCACAGTTGGAGACAGGCAATCAACAAAAAGTATTGGTTCATAAACCGGCTGAAAAAAAATATTAGAGAAATGGGTTATATTGTGCTAGAAAGAGGTAAAGAGAAATAACTAATAAAGGAAAACAAAAGGTGATATCACTTGCAAAATCACATCAAATATTCAAGAAGATTGTCTTCATTCATCCCATAAAAGAGATAATGCTTACCAAAGGGTCATTGGCCTAGTGCTACACGGGTTACAGGTAGAGCCCTGCCTCTTGGGAGGTCAAGGGTTCAAACCTCACCAAAAGTGAGGAGGGTGATGTATAATATACTTCAAAAGAGGAGGTAACACTTGGCAAATTTCAAATTATTAATTTCTTTTTCTACATTGCTACTTATTTCCAGTATCATGTTGAACATTCTCATGATCTTAGCTCATATGACTCATTTTCATCAAACATTTAGTTTTTCTTTCAAGGTTTTTGCTCTTGGATACCAGATTCTTGTAAATTTGAAACTTTCAGTTGGGACAAATACACAATCACTATATCAGGATGTAAAATCTTAAACTCATCTCAGATATTACCTGAACTGTTCCCATAAATTTTTGGGGAGAAAATTTAACAGTGTGTACTTTCTGTTTGATATACGGTTATCACAGTAAAGCTCAGGGGATAAATCATCGTCATTGATGTACACAAAACGCTTCATGATTGACTTCAGTACATGCGATTATGCTCATATGTTCATCCCTGAGGAAAAAAAACCCACAGCAATCTGGCAGTTACAGATCATCTTCAATGAAACCCATGTCCTGCAACGTGGTACAGAATATAGATATGTGTTACACACATTCTCAGGGGAATGGATAGATAAAATGCACAGGCTTGTATGACAGGAAGAATGTCCTCCTCAGCCTCTATACCAATCTGGGATAGGCTACGTAAGAATACATGGTTAGGCACCAAAAAGGAAAGAACCCTACAACAACACCATGTGAAAGCTAATGCTTTGGAATTGGTACTACTAACACTCACATAATCATAGTTCAATGGACTCCCTATCTTACATTGTGAATTTTAAATGAAGGGTATTTTTGTTAGAACATTTCTCTGCACCTCACTCTCCTATTTCTTTTTCTTTTTGTCAGGCTAAGGTAGATTGCTTCAACTACTCAGATCCATGCCATTGAAGGATTCAAGATTAGTAATTCACAGTTTAAACATAGCGGACTGACCGGTGCACTATCACGTAAGGCTTCCACAAAAATTAAATTGTTTCTTGAATTAAGCAACAGTGTATCACACAGTATAGCTCGTAAGGAATTTATCTTACTTCAATTACTTGATGCAGAGCACATAAGGATTAAAACACATCCTAAAAATTCTATCAAAAAAGATGATCTGTTGAAGAAAAGTTACATTACGTGGAAATTTCATCAATCAATTGGAGTACATAGGGATCAGATATTGAATTCGATAAATAAAGCTGAAACCGAAAATCACAAGAGCGCGTATGAAAGAAAGCAAATGGGATTTCTGTTACCTGAGGAGAATTGGCGTGGGTGCGATCGGGTCTAAGCTTCTTTGGAAGAGAATATGCTTGTTATGGAGAGGGTGGAATAGTCAGATATGCTTCCTCGAAGCTTCAATTTGGGGTCGGAGTCAGCTGTTTCGTTTTTTGTCGAGAATTTGTATATATCCTCTCGATGAGTGTTTGGCTAGAGTGCAAAATCGTGACCCACAAGCCAAATCTGAAGGCGTGCGAGACAGCTATCGATGGTAATTGGTTTCTTAAGTAAGTTTTCAAATAAGGAAATGACCTTCACTTTAATCTTGAGATATCACCTTCAATGGATCCCTGCCTAAAATACGTTGGCACAAAAGGCCACATATCATGGTTGAATTGTGCAAGTAACTTGTGTGATTTATCTATACTATATTATAAAATATTTGATAAAAAATTTAAAAAATTATTTTTTATGTATGAAGTATCGTGTATTAATGCATATTACTTAAAATTTAAGATTACAAATAAATTATGCATAAATAAAAGTTTATTAAAACTCTATTCTTGAATTCGTATAACTAACTGTAGATAAACATAACCAAATACAGGATAAACATCTCATTTTAAATATAAAAAATTTAAAATATAATTAAGATAATCATTGAGTTCTAACAAAATCATTATCTTTATAAAAAGTTTATTGTTAAGCCAAAAATAAATTACTTCACTATTTGACCTAAATTAAATTAAATAAAAAATTGAATTAAAGAAATAGTACAAAAAAATAAGAAATTTTAAATAGCTAATTTGATATTGATATCGATATATTTTTTCAAATTGTTATGATGTCTTCAAATTTATTTTATTCAAAAGTAAAAACATTATCTTTCTCAAAACCACATAAATCGTATTATATCAATAGATATAAAAAATAAAACAAAACATTAAAATGAAGATGTATCTTGTTGTATTACGCAAGTACCCTTCTAGTTCAAGGAATAATAAAGAACTGGAACAGAACATGTTTCGTCATAAGCCACGAGCCAAGCACGCCATATACAAGATGAATATGGTCGAATAGGCCCATTTTAGTTAAAACGCCCAATACTTGGCCCATGGTCAAATGGCCCATTCTCTTGTATATGTAAGCATGTTCAGATGTTGAGAGTAGTAGAATAACACTGATTTCTTGTAAGGGATAAAAGGAGATCGATTCTTAACCTAATATAGAAGGGTTCTCTCTTTTGATGTGGATGCAGGTAATCTTGTTGAACCACGTAAATCTCTGTTGCATTGTCTCTACTCTTATTCTTGGTTATATTGTCATTATTTGTTTTTGGTTTTGAGGAAGGTTATTTGGTTTTCGTCTTTTCTACTCTGTTTTTCGCTGACCAACAATTGGTATCAGAGCCTAATATCATATTTTGGTGGTAGAGCTCAAGTTTGAGGTGTTTGGGTGGTATATTGCGTGGTGCACACAAGGTGCTTGATAAAAGTCCTAAGAGAGGCAGATTCTAAAACAAGTGGGTAAATAATGTCTATAATTGGAACGGTCAAAGTTGGGAAGTATGAGTTAGAGAAGTTGTTTCTCTTGCTATTGAAATATCTTCAATTTTTATTTTTACACACGTCTTTTTTTCGGGGGTCTACAGCCATTAGGTGGCATAGGGGTTACGTCATGTACGAAAGTTAATAGTATATCACTTCTGCGAATAGCTCGTAATGTTGCGTCTCTTCCAAGACCGGGACCTTTAATCATGACTGCTGCGCGTTGCATACCTTGATCTACTATTGCACGAATAGCACTTCCCGCTGCGGTTTGAGCAGCAAATGGTGTCCCTCTTCTTGTACCTCGGAAGCCACAAGTATCGGCAGAGGACCAAGAAGCCACTCGCCCCCGTACATCTGTAACAGTCACGGTATTATTGAAACTTGCTTGAATATGAATAACTCCCTTTGGTATTTTACGTGTACTCTTACGTGAACCAATACGTCCACGTGAACCCTTTTTCGRTATAGCTTTTGCCATATTTTATCATCTCATAAATTTGAGTCAGAGATATATGGATATATCCATTTCATGTCAAAACAGATCCCCCTTCTTATTTGTATATCGGGTCTTTAACGAGTCTGATTATCCTTGTTTTTGTTTATGTGTTGGGTTGGAACAAATTACTATAATTCGTCCCCGACGACGGATTAGTCGACATTTTTCACAAATTTTACGAACAGAAGCTCTTATTTTCATATTTACCACTCCTTACTTTAATTTTGAATCCAYTTCTTGGAAGAAAATAAGTTTCTTGAAATTTTCCATTTCGAATCATATTCCTACGAAAGAAATAGTGAACTTGAAAAAACACCTAATCTTTCGAATCTTTGTTTTGGAGTCGATAAATTATACGGCCTCTAGTTGAATCATAACGACTTACTTCAATTTTGACTYTATCTCCTGGCAGTATCCGTATAAAACTAYGTCGGATCTTTCCTGAAACATAACCTAGAATTATATCTTCATTATCTAAACGAACCCGGAACATGCCGTTGGGAAGCGATTCAGTAATTAAACCTTCTTGAATCCATTTTTGTTCTTTCATTCCAGGTAAAACCCCCTTGAAGTATGTGACTTTCATTCAATATGATTTCTCGTGTATTCCCATAGCTTGGTACCCATATCTGTCCTTAGAAACATAATATTCCTTCATCATTCGACTCCATGATGGAAATCGTCTTACCTACTTTTTATACCTTCATTTTTTTTTTCTTTGACAGCCTCTTTTTGACATTTCAAAATCTCTTGATGAAGATCGGGAGTTAACCAGATTTTCATTGCTTTGATTGTTCCACTTCTTTCTTTTCGGCTTAAGGCGTCAGCTACCACATTGGCTTTTCTCAGGTGATAGAGAATCTCACAATCATAATCATTAACAAGTTCGATCAATCAACGTTGCCTCATATTCAATTCTTTCTGGTTGAATAGGTGTTGCAAACTCTTGTGATCAGTATAGATTTGGCATTTTGTTCCCAAGAGATAATGTCTCCATATTTTTAGAGCAAAAATCACAACCGCCAATTCCATGTCGTGAGTTGGATATTGCTTTTCATGATCTTTCAATTGTCGGGATACATATGATATAACTTTTCCTCTTTGCATCAAGACACAACCCAAACCCAATTTGGATGCATCGCTGTATACCATGAAATCTTTAGTTCCATCGGGTAGAGATAGTATTGGAGCACTACAGAGATGATATTTTAATAACTGGAAAGATTTCTGTTGCTCTTCTCCCCACTGAAACTTAACATTTTTTTTGAGTCAATTTGGTCAATGGCACGATTATTTTTAAAAAGTCTTGAATAAACTTGCGGTAGTAGCCTGCTAATCCCAAAAAGCTTCGAGTTTCAGATGGTGTCTTTGGTGCTTCCCATTTTGCAATTCCCTTGATTTTTGCTGGATCTACTTGTACTCCTTTTTCTGATATGACATGCCCCTAAAACTGAACTTCCCGCAACTAGAATTCACACTTTGACAATTTAGCATATAACTTTTCTTTCTTCAATAGATTCAGAACCAAACAAAGGTGTTTTGCATGTTCTACCTCTCTCTTGGAGTAAATTAGAATATCGTCAATGAAAACGATAACAAATTTGTCGAGATATTTGCGATATACTCTGTTCATCAAATCCATAAAAGCTGCAGGCGCATTGGTTAGACCAAGTCTGAGATGCGAGTAAAATATCCTCATTTGTTTACAAGAAATTATTTTTAGAAAAGATATAAATTTAAAAGATTCAGTGACAGAGACAATCACTGAAGAGTTTTACTTCTAAAACGTTTTGATCACTTAGTAGAAAAAGAATCAGTGATGGTTTTGTTTTAAGAAAAGACAAGTAAATATACCTTAGAGATATACTTACTTAAAATTTTCAGTGATAGTAAGGAACACTGAAATATTTCTTTAGAATAGTTTGATCACTGAATATGGAAAGATTCAGTGATAGTTTTAAGTTTTGAACAGAAGATAAGTATACATTTCTTTGAGAGAGAGAACATACATTTAGTCAAGAGTTCAATGATAGAGTGAGAACACAAAATCATTTCACTTATGGATCACTGATATTACTTAGAGCTGGAAGAATTCATCATCAATATTCAGCATTTCAAGTTTGCTGATCAAGATGTTAAATCTTGTCTCATCAAGAGGCCTTGTGAAAAGGTCAGCAAGTTGGTACTCAGTTGTTATGAAATGAAGTTCAATATTACCATTCATAACATGATCTCTAATAAAATGATATTTGATCTCAATATGTTTGGTCTTGGAGTGAAGAAAAATATTGTTTGCAATAGCAATATCAATAACACTAGTGCTATCACAATAGATAAGGATCTTTGAGAGCTGTAGATCATAGTCACTGAGCTGGTTTTCATCCAAAGGATTTGGGCACAACAACTTCCAGTAGCAACATATTCAACTTTAGTAGTTGATGTGGACATTGAGTTTTGCTTTTTACTCATCCAACTCACCAACTTTCCATCTACAAGCTCGCAACCTCCAGTGGTGTTTTTCCTATCAATTTTGCAACCTGCAAAATCACTATCCAAATAACCAATAAGGTCAAAACCTGAACCCTTGGGATACCGAAGACCCAAGTTAGGAGTTCCCTTCAGATACCTGGAGATACATTTTACAACAATCAGATGTGATTCCTTAGGTTAAGATTGATATCGTGCACACAAACAAGTAGAGTATATAATATCTGGACGACTTGCTGTGAGATACAATAGGGAGCCCATCATTCGTCTATAAACAGTAATGTTTACAGGCTTTCCATTTGGATCCTTGTTCAGTGAGAGATGAGGAGCCATTGGAGTCTTCATAGATGAGTTGTTGGTTAGATCAAACTTCTTCAACATATCCTTGACATACTTACTTTAGTTGATAAAGATACCTATATCTTATTGTTTAATCTAAAGACCTAGAAAGTAGGTTAGTTCTCCTATCATGCTCATCTGATACTCTTTCTTCATGTGTTTAGCAAACCAAAAACATAAAGAGGGATTAGTGGAACCAAATATTATATTATTAACATGAATTTGCACTAGAATGATATGAACTTTAACTTTCCTAAGAAACAAGTTCTAGTCAATTTTTCTACGAATGAATTTCTCAGAGATGAGAAAAGAGGAGAGGGTATCATACCAGGCACGAGGGGCCTGTTTTAA